TCATCTCAATTTGTTTTATTCTACAGGTAATTACACAAAACTAATGTTATTCAGTTCAACGAATGAACAAGGAACGATGGAAAACAATAATGATTTTTTAATCAAATCAATCGTATTTTTATTTATATTGACTCTAAAGTACTTTTTGGAAGTATAATTTATTAAAATGTTCAATAACGGCATGTCATTTCCAACGAAATGTTTCTGTTTTTAGATCAACCGTATTATGTACTAATTGTACTAAGTTATTTAAATGTTCTATACACTAATGTTCTGCCCAAAATAGTTATTGGTGCACTTAATGTCTTGAATCACCAAATATTGCTGTTATTTTATTATTACAGTGTTATTTCTGATATTGTAATATCGTTATTATAACTGAACACAACTACTTCCTCTAACCGCTTGTAAAAGGCAATAGTTGCCCATGCGTCATGAGTATTGATGCTGAAGGGACTATAAATAAACGGAAAAAGGTAAGTAACATTTCAGTTTTTACAGGAGACAATTTTAACAATAATAATTTTGTGTCAACACGTTCTCCCATAAACAGCCAATCGAGTAGTAGCAGTTTAATATAATAATAATAGTAGTAATTAGTAATTCTGTAATTAGACACAAATGATGAAGTTAGCCGACGTACCGAAAAATGTAATTTCTTCGTCAGAACGGAATACACACAATACTACGTACTTAAGAACACGCTATGAAACGATATACAGAATACTAAATATGCCCTAAATAAAGTAACATTGAATATTACACGTTGAAAGCTTAATAGAAACATTCCTTACTTGATAATTATATTTGTTTACGGTGATGGATCTGTTGATGCAACTTTTAATATTGAATTATTTTCCTTCTCGATGTGGCCTATTTTAATTACTTTGAATATCGATTGACACTTCTGTATGTACAATTCTGTTGTGGTTCCTGTATATTATACGACATACCAATAAGAACACCAACATATTCGCTAAATACTTTGGTTCACGTTCCCTTAAAATATGTATGTCGTCAGAAAATTATAATAATTTGAATAATTATTAATGTTCACACATCAAACATAAACGTTTCTTTTCACAGTTTAAGTAGGTGTTCCAAATATACTGCGCAATGCAGGGGACAAGTATTTCGTATTTGAAATCAATAATAAGAACAACAATGAAACTGTGAAATGTCTAGTCTTAAAATTGGAATTGACTCCTAAGGATGAAAAGTTTTGAACTGATATAACGGAGCAATGTTTAGTCAAGTTGAACAAGCTTCTTGTGATCGCACTGATGTAACTTTATCAACATGAGTAAAACTTGGCAATGATTCGAGGTGTTGAAACAGCAGAATATTCAATTGTCTGACATACGCAATCGGGGCAATGAACTCTAATCAGAATCCGTTCATGCAGGGCATTGAACTCCGATTACGATTATCTCTCAAAACATTTCAAGAAATAGTTCCACTAATTATTGTAAATAATTGTAGCCAAATCACAGCAAAAGAGAGAGAGAGAGAGAGAGAGAGAGAGAGAGAGAGAGAGAGAGAGAGAGAGAGAGAGTTACTTAATATTAGAAAAAATGTTAATTTCTAATGTGATACTTAGAATATAAACAATGTAAAATAGTATACAAAGGCACCATTCTCAAGAATGTAACAAGGTGGTCATAAATTCCCTGGAAAAAATAGCCATGACTTTTCCTGCTTTTCATGTGCATATTTTATTTTTTTCTGATAAGAAGTTTAAATTTCACACAACTTAAAAATAATGAAGCTATTCTGATACTACTCGGTCAGCTCTCGTATTTCGCCATAACAAAGAACTTAAAAATATTTCCTCAACAAAAAAATAGCACTTAGTAACGTAGAAATGTTTTTAAAGAATAACATCTAGTTTATAGCCTTCTCAAAATGTTTCCAAATGTTTAACGATTCTTCCACAAACTCCCTGATATTCTGTCTTTTCCAGAACAAAGAAATTCCCTGTTTTTCTTCCGATTTTTTCTCCAGAACTAGGTCACCCTCTGTAATGAAAACCAATCACTGCGAGGTTTTAAGCAATCATAACATCAATAAAAAAGTTCTGAAAACCAGACTCTCGAAATCAACTGGAAATCAAACATTAAATGCATAACATTACAATTACAATATTTGTTGGATTCTCTCAAAGTATAAAGGCATGGATCAGAATTTCCTAACACCTTAATATAAATATTCCAAATTTTGCAGGAATTCAAGACCAATTAATTAAATGAAAAAAATACTATCTAATGACCGCTTTTTGCGACACGTTCATGAGTAATAGAAACACTTCACATTTATTAACTAGTGGTGCTACAAATGGCACAGACTTTCGCGAATTAGTTTTCTATTTCCATTGGTTTCGGCTAGCTACTCGGACTTGCCCCATACCATTGCCAGTTGCCATCCATCACTGCCCATAGTACATGTTTTTGACATTTTCTTAATTTTTCGGTTTCATAATTGTAGGGCGGAAATATTATTTTAAGATTAAGAACAGTAAAACATCGTCCTAAATGGGCACTTTCTTTGAAAAACTTGGAGGCGTTTTTAAAAAAAACGTATCTAAGCGGTACTGTAAATTCGAAATTTGAAGCTCCTTACCACAGACAATTTATGGGTTTTCGAAAAACTTCATTTGAAGTAATTTTAAATACTTTAACTCACAACTTCAATAGTGTTTATAACGTGCTGGAAATGGGCATACAAACGGCATGAGAAGTCTTTTACAAAATTTACATTTGTGTAATTAAAAAAAAAGACACCGAAATGAACTACGTCATATTAAATGATGAAATTAGAACTATCCGTTCGAAATGTGTGAAAAAAATTGGAGCCCTTTTTAAAAAAATTCACGTTTGAGAATTCCTGAAAATGTGGAGTTTTGAGTTAGATTTCACAGAAAATGGTAGTTTTCGAGAAACATTATATATATATATATATATATATATATATATACATATAATTTAAATCGCATGTACTCATAAATATAATAATGTAAACAATTTGCCGCTGATGTAAATATTAACGACGTGAGAGACAAGTAAAAAAAAATTGTGTAATTTTTGAGAAAGCAAAAGAATAGAGCAATATGGCGTTTATATTATTTTATAGTGTACATTTAACACAATCTCTACCAAAATTTAAAAAAACAACAACATATGGAGCCGTTTTGAGAAAATCTTGTTTTTGATTTTTTTTAAATTGCACATATTGCACGCAATATTGCGCGAAGACTCACTATGAAGAACAAACTTTATTTGACGGAAAATATTTATTTTTAATTTTGTAGTGGTAGGAGGTCACTGAAAAAAGTCATACTTTAAACATGTTATACATTTTCGAAAATTCAGAGTTAATCGTGAAAATTGGACCTATGCCACTTTTATAAGTAAGTATCACTATTTTTACAAGAAATTAAAAAAAAAAATGGAGTCGTTTTTGAGAAAATCTAGAAAATGTCGGGAGGTCTTCATGCGAAGTACCTCCAAATTTTGAAGAATATTTTTCCAAATCTCGAAGTTTCGACTCGAACCAGGTGGACAGGTGTTTCTTCAATTTGGAAAATATCCTACGCATGGTTTACGCTCTAGTAGAGTTCACAGACACCGGACAGACGGACGTTAAAAAAAAAAACCTTTTCGGAATCAGGGGACTCCAAAACGTATATTTTCGATGAAATCTCGAAATCGATTTTCCGCAACATTATATCGAACGATTTTCCGCATCAGCGTATTACTCCGTATATACGTACGTATAGGGGAGAGTAAAAATGGAATAGCATTGAAATAACATATGTCACAAATGTGCACTAAGCACCAAGCAATTATTACTCTATCTTCTTTTTTCCCTCTTCAAACACATTGAAAACTAATAACACGCGTTATATTACAATCTACCAAATAGCTTTCTCAATACATGGCAATAGAAAAATAATACATCTTCTCTTTCTAGCGATCACATTCTTCTGGCAATATTGGATGCATATTATTCAAAGATATGAATCGTACGACCGAAATGTAAACGCTTCCATATGTATTAACACTGGCGAATTATTAAAGCTGCGATGTATACTATAATTCTACAATTAGGTATACGTTAATCTGGTGCAGGATATAGGTTTAATGTTGATAGACTGACAGATGTACGTCATTTAAAGAATAAGAATTGCAATAAAATACAATAACTTACTTATGAAATCAAAAGTACAAACTTTCTGCGCATTCAACACATGAAGTACTAATGGAGTCAAAATTTCTGCGCACCCTTCGCTCCTCAACCTACCAAAGTAATGTCAGCTCATTTATAACCACGAACAGGAAAGAATCCCACATGCAATTTTAAAGGTTAAGTACAGAGAATGGAATAGTTTACTGTTACACTCTTACTCCGCACTATTCTCAAATTTACGTCCGCATAGAAGGAAACAATATTCTGATGAGAAAAATATGATGGGTAATTGCAGTATAGAAGCACAAATTCAATCAAAATATAACATTACATTGATTCAGAAAATCCAGGCAATTAATATTCGAAATGAACACATATAGTAAGCAAGAATGACAGACGATAAAAATGGAAAGAATAAAATCAGTATAAAACTTTTACTTCACTTTTTTTATTTTAGGGGGGATACGAAAATGTTGATAAGTGAATACTTGAAAATAGATTTTAAAAAGCATATTCGAGCTTTTAAGGAAAATCTATATAAATTATATAAACCAGAAAATTAAGAACTCAAGACACACACACTACTTCAATACGCATAACAAAGTACGGCGCGACTAAAAACTTTAATCACTATTCCTTCAACATGACAAATATCCATAGCGATACACAAATTCCCTAAATACGGCATCCTTCTCATGAAAATATGGAATTTTCAGGCACAACACAAACACGTACAAAACTAGGAAATCACCCGGAGGAACGCAGATAAAGACTGTGACAGCCTCATTAGGAAAAGAACCAAGAACCGCGATGCGATGTCGCAGCCCGTTGTGATCATTCGCCCCACCCTTCGGCGCATTGGGCACGGCGATAAGATCTCCGCGGCAGTGCCATGCAGTATAAAAGCAGGGCCGCTCCCCCTCAGAAGCTGTACCGCGCCCACAGCCATGAAGACCGCAGCAGCCTTCCTCGCGCTCCTCGCGCTGGCGGCCTCCGCCCACGTGGCGCAGAATGTGCACCACAAGAAGGTTGTCGGTAAGTCTACTGAACATTCTGCGATTGGCGCAACGAGAGCAACAGCGGCCTAATTGCTAGCTGACGACCGTGCGAACGAGTGACCAAACCGCCATCTCCTATCCTATGCATAGGCCACATTTGCTCTCGCGGTCGGAAGCAGTTATGCCACTCATGGGCTCGTCTCTATTCGTTTCCCTACACAATGACAATACGGTACTTCAGAGTACTTCATTACCTCAATATTTCGCATTAAATCCGTCACAAACGCGCTGGTATTACGATTTGAAATGAAGGGATATGTACAAAGAAATAAATATTAACAAATTTTTAACAAATATTCTTTCTTTGTATAAATCCCCTCATTTCAAATAGCACATGTACATTTGCACTTCGCGTCACTTTCTAAGATTAACTTAAAATATTACCATTTTAAAATTCGTTACATATATTTCGTAATCACATATTCGATCATTTCACACACTGAATTACATACTGCAATATATAAATAGTGAAATGAAATTTTGAACAGTGCACTCAATACAACATTACGCTCTTTTTACAGCAGACCAAAAGATCCTCAACCAACAGAGAGACCTTCTCCAGCTCTTGGTTCGGGTACATCAACCTAACATGTACCTTGAACAAAAGAGCCTTGGCGACCAGTGGAACCTGGAAGCTCAGCTCGACAGCTACAGCGACAACCAAGTCGTGAAAAAATACATCACCATGTGGAAGAAGAACACTCTTCTGCCCCGTGGTGAGATCTTCTCCGTGCTGCGAGACAACCACATGGAGGAAGCTGTCGCCCTGTTCGACCTCTTCTACTTCGCTAAGGACTACGACACCTTCTACAAGGTGAGGAACGCTCCCAATGATTTCAAAGAAATTTAACTAAATAATTAACATATATTTCGAAAAGAATGTAAAATATATTAAGAAGATTTTGAATTATTTTATTAAAATCATCACGTAATTCCATTTCGTACTTAGTAGCAAAGCAATCGTACCTAATTTCTAACACTGCATCACTCTTGAAACGGTACGCACACAACTACCCCTTTGCGTTTTGCAGACGGCTTGCTGGGCGCGTGACCGCGTCAACGAGGGCATCTTCGTGTACTCTCTGCACGTGGCAGTATTGCACCGCCAAGACACCAAACAGATCTTGTTGCCGCCCATCTTCGAGATCTTGCCCCACCTTTTCATTGACGCTAGGACCATCCAACAGGCCTTCGAAGCCCGCATGCAATGTAAGTTTCATTAAATATCAAAAGGGTTGCTCAATAACAAGTCAACAGGTGTCGAGTCTAACCATTAATTTGCTCGTTACTTTTAGATGCCGGCGTTTCCAGCCAACAGACCCGCACTGTCATCATCCCCACAAACTACACTCGCTTCCCTTATATGAAGGCCAACCCCGAGTACCTGATGAGTCCGTGGACAGAGGACATTGGCCTCAACGCATATTACGCATACTTCCATCTGTTTTATCCCTTCTGGATGAAGGCTGAACGCTACGGACACACCGTTGACCGCTACGGCGAGATGTACTACTACGTCCAGCAGCAAATCCTGGCTCGCTATAATTTACAACGCCTGGCCGCCGGACTACAAGAAGTAGAGTACCTGAAATTCAATCAGCCCATCAAGGTAAAGCGTTTGAGCACATCGTTTGTACTATTCCTCTTCGCAATAACAGCACAGAAATAGCACCTAAAATTCGATATTATCCATCCACAGTACGGATACTCATCCCAGCTGCGTTACGCCAATGGCCTGGAACTGCCTACTCGCCCTGACAACTACTACATCACCGATAACTACGAATTTGACAAAGTCCAGACCATCGACATTGAGCGCAGAATCCGTGATGCCATCGATCTCGGCTATGTGATCAAGGTAAGCAAATATAACAGCAACAGCACATAATTCTGTACAACAGAGTGACTGCGAAATAAAACTGAACGACAATTATTTTACTGTTACAGAAAGACGGCTCAAAGGTCTCCATTTACGAACCCCAGGGTTTTGAAATCTTGGGCAGTCTGATTTCCGGAACATACAACTCTGTGAACTACAACTATTACGGCGCCCTTTACAACAAACTGCGTCGCCTGCTGTCTTTCGCTGTCGACCCCAACCACATGCACGGCGTTGCTCCAGGAGTCACTGAGCACTTTGTGTCTGTGCTGCGGGACCCGGCCTACTACCAGGTCTGTGCCCGCGTCGACTACCTGTTCCGCCGCTACAAATCAAAGTTGGACCGCTACACCGTCGACCAGGTATGATTCAAAAACGTACTCAAGCTCATAGCGCTAACTGCCAGTGAGAATAAAAACATATATAACAAAATAATTCAAGATAAGGTCATCCATGAATTAGTTAAGCGAAAAACTAAAATAATTCCGAGTTGAACACAATCAAAATTACGACAATTCGGATGCTCTATTTAGAAGATACTATTTACAACGCATTTTGCTTCCACAACCACAAACGCATTACTGTTTTCAGCTCGCCTTCCCTGGAGTGCGCATCGAGAACGTCGAAGTCGACAAGCTCGTCACCTACTTCGACGAATTCGACGTGGATCTCATGAACGCAATTGATGTCAGCTCCATTGAAGACGGCGAGCGTCTCAAGATCATTGCCCGCACTCAGCGACTCAACTACAAGCCATTCACATACAAGTTCACCATCAACTCTGACAAATCCGCTAACGTGATGGTTCGCGTGTTCCTGGGCCCTAAGTATGATGCTGCTGGCCACGAGTTGAACTACGAACAAATGCGCCCGTACATGGTTGAGATGGACCGCTTCCCCTACAAACGTAAGAAACACAATACGTACAAGCAACACGAATATCCTCGTCTACTTGTGATGGATGTTGCTCTGAATTAATAAACGCGTGTTTATAATTTCTAGTGACCAACGGCCAGACTGTCATCACTCGCAACTCTCACGACTCAACTTGGGTGATTAAGGACCGCAGCTCCATGTGGGATCATCTGCGAAAGGTTAACAACGCCATCCACAATCACGAGGAGATGTTTATCGACGACGTAAGTATGAAATACTGCCACAATAATGTCATAAGGAGGATTTCCGCAACTACAACTCACTATCGGTCACCAGGAGCACACGCTGTAGTAATACCTTTCTTCTTTGCAGATCGCTCAGTACTGCGGCTTCCCCCAGCGCTTGCTGCTGCCCAAGGTGTACAAGACCAGCATGCCCTTCGTGCTGTTCGTCATGGTCACGCCCTACGAAGGGCCCATGGAAGTGCCCCAGACCTTCGCCAGCTGCGGCGTGGGCTTCGACGTCAAGTACCCCGACACCTACCCCATGGGCTACCCGTTCGACCGCCCCATCAACAACTGGGACTTCTACACCCCCAACATGTACTTCAAGGACGTCCTCATCTTCCACAAGAAGAAGGGAGACCTGACTATCAACGTGTAAATATTTTCTATGGAGGAGGCAGTTTAGCCGAATAAATATTTTTTAGGCATGTCGTGTCATTTTCTGAGAAAACTTTCCCCTCAAAATTACATTTCTTCATCCTAAAACTAACCCGAATGCAATCTTCCTTAGAAAATTCCGAAAATCGTGGTAGATGTCACCATCAAGTAGTCTTCAATCTTAGATAGAGAGATTTGATCTAATATGAATTTCATAACTGCTGGTAGAGTTCTCAAATACAATATACATTAAACATTCTAAAATAGAAAACGCAAGGCGCGAAACACAAACGCACATTTTTATTATATATACATATATTTATTTGTTACGTCTTCAATTGACGCATCTCGAGGCCCCTTGAGTGGCGTTGAGCGCTTTGCGATTTAGGAGTAATCCTCCATTAATTAACTATTTTGGTGATGTTGACTTAGTTGGCAATTCGTCAACTGAGTCCGCATCGAGCTCATCTTTTTGACTTTCCATTACGTGGGCTATCTAATTTATGATTAAATTATTTCAAATTTTATATTAAATTATCCAGTATACTGCATAACTGAATTAGAAAGAAATTAGAGAACACTTCCCGGTTTTCTTCTGCCGCCACAGCCGACACAAAAACTTTCTGACCAAATCTACGTGACATACCGGACACCTCGGCAACTAGAATACATGACGAAATATGAGTAAGCTACGCCCATTACACGAGAAAATCCATATAACTAAAAAAAAACATTGTCAGGGTCATTTTCATTTTAGTTTAAATACAAAAACTACACTTCATAATACAGTTTAGGAACGTTTAGAACAGTTTCCGCATCGGACATACTTGTTCAGACGTCATGCACGTCGATTGCTTAATTTTAATATTTACACTGAAAACAAGCATTCATACTTTACGCGAACACAACATACCACTGCTATACGCGCATCAGTTAGAAGCACAACCCAACACTGACATACATTTACGCAATATAAACACTTTCACCCCTATATAAATATATGAAGACATGGAGGGAGTAAAGATGTATGTAAAATTTCCACGTTTCCGAGATTTTTGAATTTTTAAAGTTATAAACCCTTTATTGGTGATCTACATAATAAACAACGAAAAAATCATTGTTATGAAAAACAATATTACCTATGTTCTAACAATGCTTTTATAATACTTCATAATTCGCTTTGTTTCAACAATGGAGTGATGGTAACAATGAATACCAAATTCTGAATATTGATGAATGTCCATCCGATTCTTACTTCTTAACAAAAATATTGACACTCTCGACTCGCACAAAACAAAAAAAAATTTGAATGCTGCTCTTTATATTAACTTCATTTAAACTTAATTACCTGCAATAGATAGATTTATTAAAGTTCGCTTTGAGCTAATGCTCGGTGACAAACATGATAACAATTAAAATTAGAATTACAAAACATTTTCAACATTTACAATTGGGTTTACTATTAGAATTAGGGGGTCGATATAATAGTTCCAATTTAATTTCTAACTTAAAACTCTAAAATTCAACTTCTAAAAAGTTTTACATTAACACCTTTCACTTTTAACACCTACACTTTCCACTGTATAAGGGCCATGAGAATAATAATTATGACAATATAATAAATAAAAGTAATAGTAATATTAATATAATAGAAGCAATAATAATATTAACAATAACATATAATAAAAGTAATAAGAATAATCATAATAATAATAATATATAATAATAATAATAAAAATAATAAATAATAATAATAAGAAAGAGCCTCTAGAGCTTCTGCAGGTAGTTTATTCCAATCTACTATAGTGCGATTCATAAAGGAGAACTTGCCTACATCAGTTCTTTGCTTTCTACATCGTATTTTCCAAGGATGGTCTTCTCCCAGAATATGAAGCACAAAGAAAATTAATAATCAGTTTACCAATCGGTAAATACGAAATTATTAGAAAAGAATGCACGGACCCTCTACAATTTGTTATCAAATACTGGGACTCTTATCAAACATCCATTTTCCCCACATATTTTCAATTATGAATATCTCTGGACTTTTCACTTTTTGTGTGTTTCCGACTATACCAAAAGAAACTTTATCTATTGATCCAGCAGATGCCAAGTTAATCTAGAATTTATATACGTTGGGCTCTCATCGTTATTACCCGTAAGTCTTCGTATGTAATTCATCCACTTCACACCACCCACACACACATTCATTATCCCAATGCCTTGGATATCAAATCTCAACAATTATCGTTCAGAAACATGGGCTTCCCTCACAGTCACCAACTTGCACTGACATTTCCGTAATCGCCACATTCATTCAAAACAGCGGCGTCGTTGGTCGTATAGCTTAACTCTCCGTGAAGTCACTGAAATTAAGCAACTCGAGACACCACGATTTCTGGTCGGGTGTCAGTCTGGGAACCACGGTTACAAATGGCGCCGCATCCCTGGGTAAAGGAATAAAAAACATTAACTGACAGCGCCGTGACGACCACACACACAAAATCCCTCATGGAGGATGACTCCAGAAATATACTATACACGCTCAATGTCCAAGAAGGGCTAAGAGACGTGTTGCGAAAAAGGAGCAACAATTAAAAAGGTTTTTAACTGTTGACAAAAACCTAAGGTAATAACACGTTCAATATTTTACAAGAATAACAGATATATCAACAACAACTAGTTTTCATGTTAATTCACTTTAAATAATTAGCCAGACATATTTCAGGAACAATTTTCCCCCATTATCAGTGGCACTAAAAAAAGAAAGTAAGCAAATAATATATAATAATTATAAGTAATGAAATCACAAAATTAAAATAATTTAATAAATCGAAAGAGTTTCAATATGGTGAAATTTACTTTTACGTAAAACGAGAAGATGGAAGCATAGGCGTGATCTTCTGTAAGAACTGACAGTGACTCTAAGAGGAATTGAAGTAGAAAAGTAGATAAGCTAGTTTTCAAATGGGGCTGCAGTTTATGCAAGATAGTTCAGAGGTGCCATATTAGGTGAAAATAATTTAAGTGGGTCCGAGTCAGATATTTTCGCGTATTCGTCCTTCAAAAGAAAAGTGCACCTATAATGAAATATATCAGAGCCATCGTGATTATTTTTATGTAAACAGGCGTGTTATCTGTAGCCGCGCTTATATCTGCTTCTCACATGTCAATTTACAATGAATGAATCCCAATAATACGTTGCGAAACGTTGCCACATTTATGAAAATGAAAACAAATTTTGGAATTATAATGTTATAACGAGCTTACCGTGCGAGAACTCTCGCATGTTAATCCCCACCTTTCCCCTATCCTTTCCATAAAAAAGGAAAGTTGCTATACCTGGAATGGCAAGGCCCCCCGAAATTTTCATTTGTTTTTATTTGAGTTGGTAGTATTGACAGTGACGAGGGCACGTGTATTTTGTGTTTACCTTGACCTGGGCATAACGCATTTCCCTCGTGTGACTCAGGTTTCGTTTAGAGTTTTTCCTACTGATCTTGGGGTACTGTATCCTTGTAATTTCCAGTAGACACACCTACCAGTAGTGTTAATTTTACTTTCTCGAGTTGGTGCCATGTCTGTGCACGAGCAAAAGACAACTAAACTGCAGTCACATGTGCAGAATGCAACAACATTGTATGTTCATCGTATAAATTTGTTATATGCAGCCATTACAAATATCGATAAGACTTCCAGAACGATCATTAAAATTGTCAAAAGTGGGTGCATTACATTTAGATTTCTTCAATTTCTATAACGTTTATGTAACATTTTCAGTTTGTTAAAAGATTTGATTAGAGTTTAATGTTAAGAGATTGATGTATGTTAAGAGACTGATGTTCAAAAGAAATTTTCAATAAAGTTTTATTCAGTATTATTGCGATATTTCTTGGGAGTATTCACAACACTTCGTTAAAAACATAGGTATAACGAAAATACTGGTATAGGTCAAACACAAACCAAACCTAACACGACACGTCTTTACTTCTCCACTTTACACCCACATCACTCTACAATTAGGTACACAGAAACTGTAGACTTCGGCAAAACGTGAAATGAATGTTTTTACTACATGCATAAGAAACAATCTTCACTGGCGTTAAGAAACTAGTAATAGTACTTCTAGTTGTTGCTGCGAGAGCGAAACGTGAATTAATAAGTATGTAAATAAACCTCGTTAGTCTGCTCAAACCACGGTGTACACAGAAAGCGTAAATAGTATAAGATGGAGGAATCTAAGCCTTCTAAGAGTGACGTCACAAAGATGGCCATCATCGCCAAGGGTTGAATTATAGGTGGTATTGGTAGTATCGATAAGTACACCGAACCAACAAAAACTCAATTGAATCCCCAAAAATATCTCATCCTGTAGATTATAGTGCGAAACACGTTTCTTTGAAGCATTTGTCCAGAAAATTTTAGTTTCAAAACCCTAGAACGCTTTGTTACGGAGTTTTTTTAACGATATAGCTGACTGAGTGCTACGGGTTGCATTTGACATGAATATTATGATTTGTTTTTTAAACATATCCTTCATATTTTTAGAGCCGAAGTGCAATTCGGTACGTCTCCGTGTAATTCTTTCTTTAGAGGCCTCATACATTAAGATCGGTTGCGTGTGAGAACCGCAAAAGGTATGTATATTACGGAAACAATACAGGAGATGATTAGACCGCGAAACTCTATGCAATTGAATATTTTTACTGATTGCGCCAATCGAAAGGAAATGTATATACCAAATTTATGTATATATGTACGTATTTATTTATTTATTTATTTGCGTCAAAAACACTTTAAAACTGTGTATGACATGCTATGGGGAGAAGTTAATTTGAGTCTGTCAGTCTGTCCGTCCGTCTGTGCAGCGCTAGCGCGTAAGCCGTTTAGCAGATTTTCTGAAAAATTGGTATTCCACAATCGTTTTAGCTGATGTCTCGGACCATGGGATTAGAAATCGATATTTTAATTTTAGAACGTACTTTACACAAAGCCCCTGGCACATATTCAAAATATTTTAAAAAATGC